GTCCTGGTAAGTAAGCCAATAAATGTAAATAAAACAAGCAGATTTAAACTTTGACAATTGTACCGTATTTCCGAGGGAACAAACTGGAAGACGAGACCTTGACGAGCCTGGAGAGCTACCTGGACGAGTGTTTTGACAACATCGTAATGGGGAAGCTGAAGAATCCCACATCCACGAACACACCGTCTTCCAAACGATGTCGGTCTAGTTCAACCAGTGCTGCTTCTACATCTACTTTGTCTCCAGACAGGAGCTACAGCGACGTCCTGGAATCCATCGACAAAAAGCTAACTAGCTTGGACGCCCGCCTTGCCCTGGTAGAAGTCCTGCATAAGGAGTTTCAAGCTTTGAGAGAGTCGCTGGAATTCAGCCAAGCTCAGCTGGCCTCCGTCACCGCCGAGAATGAAGCGCTGAAGGGGGAAGTCACCAAACTCGCCGAGGGGATGATCCAGCTGTCCGGCGAAAATAGAAAGATGAAGGAATCCATTCTGGACATTCAGTCGCGGAGCATGAGAGACAATCTCGTCTTCGCTGGAATCGCTGAACAGCAGGACGAGGACCCTGAGGCGATAGTACGTGAGTTCCTCCAGAAGAAGCTGAAAATCCCGGCGGACCAGGTAAAAAACATCACCTTCCATGGCGTTCACCGGCTCGGAGGTAAGAAGCCTGATAAATCCCGTCCTAGACCAATTGTAGCTAAGTTTGAGCATTACAAGCAGAAAGAGCAGGTCAGGAGTCAGGGCAGAGAGCTGAGAGGAACAGATTTCAGCGTCAATGACCAGTATCCAAAGGAAATATTAGATCGCAGGCGAGCGTTATTCCCAATCAGGAAGAAATACATCAGTGAAGGCGTCAGAGCTACAGTAGCAGTTGACAAACTTTATATTAATGGTCAGTTGTTCAGGGATCAGAAGATCACTCCTTGGCTTTATTAGATGCACAACAGGCAGGTTTAAAAGCATGTGACACCTGATTAAAGTGTATAGAACATTTCACAGTGATAAATGAAATATATGCACAGCTCTAGAGCACGTTTGCACGGTATGACTGCTAGTTACAGCTGGGTACAGAATGCATGGGCTGGGGTTCTTTTTCTTTCACCTTTTCTCACTCATTGCACTCTCTTAATTTTCTGTCTTCCTTTTCCTTATTCGTCTGCTTCTTCCCTGTGGTCCACACAATCACAAGCACACGGTTTGATGCTACCTGGGTCTAGGTATAACTATTTATTCAGAGGCATGTACTTTTCATCTTCTCACTCACACCTATGGTGAATGTAAGGTTTGTGACATGGAATGTGCATGGGGCTGGCACCAGAGAGAAAAAGCTTAAGATTTTTAACCAGCTTAAAAGATTAAATGCAGATGTTGTCTTATTGCAAGAAACCCATAAATCAGCGGCATCTATAAGTGATCTTAACTCCCCTGAGTTCCCTGATGTGTTTGCAGCCTGCTATAACTCGAGACAGAGAGGGGTAGCTATTTTAATCCACAAAAACCTCAGTTTTACTTTATTAGACAAAATTATAGATCCTGAAGGCAGATTCATCATAATTAAAATATCTATTTATAACCAAAAGTTGTGTATTGTCAGCATATATGTTCCAAATGTTGACGACCCCTCATTCTTCCACAAAGTTTTTCATGCACTTTCAAAGCACGGGGATTGTTCTCTAATTATTGGGGGTGACCTCAACTTTGGTCTAAATGGAGAAATGGACAGGTTGAGTACAACAGGGACTCAGCGCAGTTGGCAATCATTAAATGTAGTCAAACAATACATGAGTGATTTTGGTCTTTGCGATGCATGGCGATCTCTTCATCCTAACAGTAAGGAATACACTTTCTTTTCCAATGTCCATCATTCCTACTCTCGTCTGGACTATTTCCTAATCAGCAGCTCACTGCTGTCTGACGTCTCAGATGCTGTAATCCATCCTATTGCTGTCAGTGATCATGCTCCTGTTACTTTAACCCTAATAAATAAAAAAAATAGTCCCACAAAACAAGAGCTGGAGATTAAATACATCACTGCTTAAAGATGAAGAGTTTCTCAAATTTTTCAAGGAAGAGTGGGCATCATACTTGGTGTGCAATGATTTACCAGGAACATCAGCATCTATACTATGGGAGGCAGGGAAAGCAGTGATGAGAGGTAAAATTATTTCATTTTCATCTCATAAAAAAAAGTTAGAACAAAAAAAGATCCAGGAATTAGAGGGAAAAATAAAGTTACTAGAAAGCTCGCTAGATGAGGAAAAGTTAGGGGAAATCCGTAAAATAAAACTAGAACTAAACGAATTTATTGAAAAACAAAATAAATTTTTAATTCAAAGACTTCGAATTGACAACTTTGAACATAGCAATAAGTCAGGAAGCTTCTTAGCTAACCAGCTAAAAATAAACAAAGAAAAAACGACTATATTTGCAGTTACAGATTCAATTGGTAATACATTACAGGATCCGGAGGATATTAACAATGCCTTCCGAGATTTCTATAAATCTTTATACACATCACAGTTAAATCCATCAGATAATGATATCAAGCGATTTCTGGATAAAATAACTCTTCCTAAATTATCAGAGAGTCAAAGAGCGACCCTGGACTCACCGCTGTCTACAGCTGAAGTTCAGGAAGCATTAAAAAACATGCCAAATAATAAAGCGCCAGGTCCAGACGGGTTCCCTACTGAGTTCTATAAAGAGTTCTGGAACATTCTGGCCCCAACGTTCCACAGAATGCTGCAGGAAACTCTAGATAATGGCAAATTTCCAGTTAATATGAATTCTGCCACCATTAGTCTCCTGCTTAAGCCAGGCAAAGATCCTATGTTTCCGACCAGCTATCGTCCCATATCCTTAATTAATGTGGATATTAAAATAGTCTGTAAAGCTTTAGCAAAACGGTTAGATAAAGTCACTCCTCTCATAATCCACCCAGATCAAACTGGTTTCATTAAAGGGAGGCAGTCAGCTGCTAACACACGCAGACTGCTGAATTTAATAGATTATTCCTACAGCAAAAATCTTAAATCCTATATATTGTCCTTAGATGCAGAAAAAAGCATTCGATAGAGTAAACTGGAAATTTTTATTTGCTACTCTACATAAATTTGGCTTTGGCAATTCCTTTATAAATTGGTTAAAAATATTATACAGCTTCCCAACAGCCTGTGTCAGGACAAACAATCAAACATCTTCCAGTTTTTGTCTCCAGAGGGCACCAGACAGGGATGCCCACTCTCCCCCTCACTTTTTGCTATTTTTATTGAGCCTCCGGCTGCTACAATCAGACAAACAAATATGATTAAAGGTATAAAAGGCATGAAAATGGAGCATAAAATTAGTCTTTACGCAGATGATGTATTACTTTATCTCCAGCACTCAAACACTTGCCTCTCTCAAGTGATTAGTTTACTAGAATCTTTCTCAAAAGTCTCAGAATACTCTATAAATTGGTCAAACTGTAATACACCAATTAATTGTTTCCTACAAACCCCGGGTTAAATTGAAATCAGGAAATATCAAATATTTGGGAATTACTGTTCATCTAAACTAGCTGAGTTCCAAAACCAACACACCCCTCTTTTAAAAAAATAAAAAGGGGACCTAGAAAGTTTTGGAAATCGCTTCCGATCCCCCTTTTTGGGTCGGGAAGCCTCAATTAAAATGAGGTTTTACCCAGAATTAACTACCTATTTTAAATGATCCCAAATAAACCATAAACCGAATGGGTTTAATCTCGATTTTTCCATCTCTAAATTTCTTTGGAAGGACAAACCCCCCGTTCAGCTTAAAAACATACAGAAAACTAAAGACAAGGGGGACAATTTACCTAACTTCCAATAAACTATTTAGCAATAGTTTACAATACATCTCTAAAGGGGATAAAACATAATCCTTAATACCCCCGGGATAACACAAAACAATATTGCAGAATATAATAATCTCAATTTGCCGTTTATTAGTCAAATCAAAGGGAACCCCCTTTTCAAAAATATTAACATCACTCTCCCCCTCAGCATGGGGGGAAAATTTAAAAATAACGAACCACCCTTTTATCCCGTCAGTCGTACACCCATCGGGAAAAAAACCCTGACTTTCTACAAAAAAAAAAAAGTGAAAACTTCCCCTACGGGAAAGAATAAAGGTATTACTATCGGGGTCATTTGTTTAAGGTACATTTATCACATTCGCTAGATTAAAATTTAAAATTGGGCATTAACAAAAAAAAATTTTTCTTAGAAATGACAAATCAAAGCTATAATTAAAAAAAAATTTTTAAGCATATTGATGGGGGGTTTAAAAATTCCAACTAAAAATAATTTTCTAGATTAACCCCCCCCCCAAACTACTGTCTAAGTTATACAGGACACTGACTAAACGGATATACAAAACCCTTTTCCTTTTACTAAAGGGGGAGGAAAATTTATCATCGCTTTGAACAAAACATCTGGGCTCAGATATGTCTAAAAACTTTAACATGACCAAAAAACCCCAATTTACAATTAATACAATACAAAACCCCTCCAAGTCACTTACAGTCAAAGATTATTCAAGAGGTTTGCGCAATCTAACACTGTCCACATGCAAGCAATCGCTTGAAATTATTTTTCACGCCTAGGGGTTTGCACCCGGGTTCAGAATTCTGGTACAGTATTAAGGATCATCACGGGCCCGGGGGTTTTAAAAAATCCTAATTTCCCCTTCATTTGCTTCTGGGTGATTTTGGGGGGAAGCCGGGAAAAAAAAACGGTTTGCTTGGCATTCACTGCATTATGTATCGCAAAGAAAACTATCCCATTTTGGGAAGATAAAAAAACTAAACATAAATCATTACAGAGACGTTTTTGGGATCATATTAATCTTGAGACACATCGCACCCCACAACCGATCTCTCGGGGCCCCCTTTGTCCTCCTCACTTAGTTTGGGGGGGCTAGGTGGGGTCTTTGGGGCGGGGGGGTTTTTTCGGGGTCCTTGGTCCTGGGCTGGGGGGGTGCTCAGGGGGGTGCCTGGGGGTCGGGCCCCGGGGACTGTTGCCCCCGCGGGGGGGGTCGGGGGGCCCGGGGGGGGGTCCTGCGGCGGCCGCGTGGGGTGCTCTTGGGGGTTTTCCGGGGGCGACGGGGGCTACTCCCTGGTGGCTGTCTGCTGCTGGTGGGGCTGGGCGCCGGCAGGGTTTTTTTGTTGCTGGCCGGGGGCTTCTGCTGGGGCGGGGCTCGGGGGGCCTCCTTCCCCCGGGTGGGGTTTTTCGGGGGTTGGGCCTTCTTGCCGTGGTTTCGCCGGGGGGGCTGGGTTCGCCCCTGTGCCGGGTTTTGTGTGTCTGTTGTGGCGGTTGGGGGTTCGGGGCCCCTTTGGAGTGCCCCGGGGGCGGGGTGTGGTTTCGCTCTGTTGGGGGGGGGTCCCGGGTGACGCTGGTGGGTGCAACGTCCCGGGGCTTGGGAGGGGAGGTTGCTCGGTTTTGGGGGGGGGGGGGGGACGACCGGGCCGGGCGTGGCCGTCCTCCTCTCGCGGCCTGTGGCTGGGGGGCCGGAGCGGGGTGGGTCGTGCTGTTTTTCGTGGCGGGGGTGGGGGGGTCGCGCGCTGCTTTCTTTTGCTGCTTGTCCCGGGCTTCTGGGGCTGGGGCGTTTTGCGCTCGGTCCTGGCGTGCCCCGGGGTGGGCTCTCGTCCTTTGCTTTCCTTGGGGCGTGTTTGCTTTCGGTGGGGGGGGGGTGGTTTCGTTGTTTTTTGGGTGGGGGAGTCCCCTGGGGGTTTGGTTGGTGCCGTGGGTTTTCGTCCTTGTGGGCCTTCCGGGGTTTTGTTTCTGTTGGGCTGCTCGGGCCCCCCCGCATCCGGCGGGGCGCCCCGGGGGGGGGGTTTCCCTGTTCCGGCTTCCCCTGTCTCCGGGGAGGCGGGCATGTTGACTTTTCTGGGGGGGAGCATGGGTGGGGGGTCCTGTGTGTGGGCGGGGGGTGTTGGCACTGCTTTTTTGCGGCCCTTTTTTCTCCGGGGGGGGGAGAATATTAAAATTTTTTTTTGTTTTTGTTTTTGTTTGTTTTTTTGTGTGGGGGGGGGGTTGTGGGGCGGGGGTGGGGGCTGGAGTGGGGCTGGGGATTGCGCTTACTTTTTGGGCTTTTTTCTCTTCAAGGGTCTTGGGCCGGTTGGGGGGGAGTCTTTTGGGGGCCGAGTCGGGTGGGGGGCCGCCGGGCCGGGGGTTTTTGGGATTGCCCGGCCCCACTGCGGGGGGGGGTCTGGGGGGCTCCTTGGGCCTGGGGTCCCTGGGCCCATTTTCCCTTGGGGGGGTCCCCGTGGGGGTTTGGTTCGTGGGGGTGCGCTTGGGGGCGGGCCGGGGACCCTGGGTGTCTGTCCCGCTGCCACGGCCCTGGGGGTCCGGGGGCCTCGGGGCCTCGGGGCTGGGGGGGGGGATACATTAACACCTATGGGTTTCTTACCCCCTCACGGTTTTTCACTCGTAAGTGGGGGGAAAGGGGGGGGAGGGGAGTAGGTAGATCCGGGCCTGGTGTCTTCGTCGCTTGTGTGGTGAGTATTGATTGTTTTTGTAGGGGAGGGATTACATCTCCGGGGGGGGGGGGGGGGTGGTGATAGAGGGGAAAAAGATCTTTGAAGGGGTTTGGGTCTGGGTCCCTGTCTTTGGGCCGGCCCGCCCCCTGGGGGGCTTTTTCCGTGGGGGGGGCTCGGTTGCGCGTTGGCGGCCGGGGTGGGATTGTCCCTTCCCCTTTTTCATTTATTTATTTTTTATTATTATTTTTTTTTTTTATCTTCCTTTTATATTTTTTTTTTTATTTATTTATTTATTTTTTTTTTTTATTATATTATTTTTTTTTATTTAATTAATTTTTTTTTTTTTTTTTTTTTTTTTATTTTTTATTTTTAATTTTTTATTTTATTTTTATTTTTTTTTTTTTTATTATTTTTTTTTTTTGGATGGACAGGGGGGGGGGTGGGAGTGGGCTCCGTGCCCGGGGTGGCGGTTGGGGTCCTGCTGCCCTTTCCCTGCCCCCCCGGGTATGGGGGTTTAAACTGGTGGGGCCCCCTTTCTTTGGGGGGGGGTCTCGGGGGAACGGGGTGCCTATTGGAGTACGGGGACCCTCCCTGGGAGTCACAGGGAACCCCATCCCTTTTTCTCCCCATCCCAAAATTCCCCCCCTTTCCCCCCTGCTCCATCCTCGGCCACACATGATTTTTGGGGGGGGTCTTACGGAGGGGCCCAAACCCTTTTGATGACTCCCCACCCCAATTTTATTTTTTATTTTAGACCTTCCATCTAATTTTATTTTCACAAACACTCATTAGGCATTTTTTGGGGGTGGGGGCAGGGCCACCGGGGGGGCTTATTTTTAATCCTCACCACGTCGGGCCCCCCCACCCCTCTCGCATCTAACCATTGAGGGGGTTTGGGGGTTGTCGAAGGGGGAGGTGTCTGCACCGTCTATCTCCTGGGGGGGGGGGTAGTTCCGACACCCCCCCTTGGGGACCCCATTTTAATTGCATCTGAGACAACACGCAACAACACCACATTCAGCGGCGCAGTGAGGGGTCGGGGGCTTCTCACACCCCCCGTTCTCCGGGTGCCGCCTGGAGTCTGGGCCTGGGGAAGAGCGGGGCCACCTGGTCCGTGTTTTGGGGGGCGTGAAGTCCTGGTTGAAGTTTTTTTTTTTTTTTTTTTTTTTTTTTTTTTTTCGGGGGGGGGGGGGGGGGGTTCTGGTTGGGTGGCCGGCCGGGGAGGGTGGGCCCCTCCCCCGGGGGGACTCTTTCGGGGGGGGTCCTCCGGTCGGGGTGGGGGCCGGCTTGAAGCAGGAAAGAGATGGGTTGGTTTGGGGGGTTCGCCGCCCCCCCTCCCCCCACATCCGGGTTTTAGGGTTTCCCCTTGGGTCACCGAAGTCCCGGGGCCGACCCCGGTGTCACCGGGGTTTTTGGTCCTTATTATTGGGTTGAGTGTTAGTGTGAATGTGTTCTGCTTGTTATTTTCTTTATTTTATTATTTTTATTATTTTTATTTTTTTTTTCTTTTTTTTTTTTTTTTTTTTTTTTTTTTTTTTTTTTTTTTTTTGTTACAGTGGGGCACTAGGGGGAAGGCATATTGGAGATGTTTTTTTTTTTTTTTTTTTTTCTTTCCCAGTTGGGGGCCAACCGCCCCCCCCAAAACACCAATCTCCCCTAAGTGCGGGGCCCATTCCCCCCCTCCTGCCTCCCTCCGCTGGCTTGCGTCGGGCTCACCGGGGCACTGTGGAGCTGGGGGGGGGGTGCCCGGGGGGCTGCTGGGTCATTCCTGGGGGCCTCCCCTGGCCCCGGCCCCGGGGCTTTGCGGGGGCTCCTGTCTGGGGGTGGGGTCCCTTGGGGGCCCCGATCCCCCGGGGCCTGGACGGATCCGCTTCGGGTGGGGGTGGGTTTTGTTTCCGGATTTTCGGGTCGGTGCTGGTGCCTTTTGCTACGATGCCGTTCCGGGGGGGTGTTTTTTTCCTAGCCGGTTTCTGGATCTTCGGGGGGGGGGTTCTCCGGGAGGTGGGGGGCGGGCTTGGGGCCGTTTTGGGGGTCCGGTTTTTCCCCCCCTCCCTCTTGCCTATTTTTTTTTAATTTTAATTTTTAATTAATTTATTTTTTTACCTATTTATTTGTTTTTTTTTTTTTTTTTTTTTTTTTTTTTTTTTTTTTTTTTCTCTTCCCCGGGGGGGGAGCGGTTCGGGCGGGTCGGTGTCTGGTCCCTGCGCATTGTGGGGGCCCCTTTTTTTTTTTTTTTTTTTTTTTTTTTTTTTTTTTTTTTCTTTGGGGGGTTTTTTGGGATGTCTGTTTTCTCGGGGGGGGAGGGGGGCCCCGCGGGGGGGGGTCCTGCTGGGGGCGCCCGCTGGTTGTGGGGGTCCGGGGGTCCCCGGGGGGAGTGTTGGGGGGCCGGGCGGGCGGGCTGGCCCTGGGTGGGTAATTTCGGGGTGGGTTTTCCTCCTGGGGGCATGGCGGGGGGCTCTGTTCCCAATGATCGCGGCGGGTGGGGCTGCGGGGCGGGTGTGGGCCTGGGGTGGCTATGACCGGCGCGTGGTGGGGGGCCGGGGCGGCGGAGCTGCTCTGGCCGCGTGTCGGGGCCTGGTGCGGGCTGCGGGGGGGGTGGCGGACGTGGCTGGGCTGCTTTGGCATCGTCCGGTGGGGGGGGCGGCGCGGTTCGCTCCGCTCTGGCTTTGTGCTGCACCTCGGGCTGCTGGGGGGGGTGGTTGCGCCGGCTGCGGTCTGCTCCTCTTGCGGTTTTGCGCCGGGCGGCTTTTCTGCTCTCGGGCTGATTCTGTGCGCGGTGTGCTTCGTTGCGCGCTGTTGGCATCGGTCTTGGTGGGGTGGGGCTGCGCTTTTGGCCGGGGGGGCGTTTTGGGGGGGGTCCCGCGGCGCTCGTGGCCGGGTCGCGGCGGATGCGCATGGCCCCCGGCCGGGGGCGGGGCCGTCTTAGTGTTTTCCGGGGTGGTGCGGTCGCGGTGGGTGTTGCGGCCGGTCGCCGGGGCTTGGTGCGGGGGGGCGGGGCGTGTTTCGGTGCTCTGTGGGGCTGGGGCGTTTCGGTCGGCGCCGTGGGGGGGCTGGTGTTCGGCGCCCGGCCCTACTTCGGGGTGGCCGGCTGCCGGCGGGGCCCGCGGACTCGTCCCCGCGGCTCCCCGGGGCGCCGGCATGGCGGTGGCTGGGGGGCTTCCTCATGGCTGTCTCTCCTCCTGCCTTGGTGGGGTCTGATTTCCGGGGCTGGCCCCGCCTTGGTGCCTTCGCTTCTGGGGTCCCCTTGGGCGCCTGGGGCTTTGGGTCTCCCGGCGCTGGACTCAGTGCTCTGGGGGGTGTGCCTCTCCGGCTCTCCACAACCACTATTGAGCATTTTTTTCTATGGTTAAAACTTTACATGCACAAGTTCACCCTCACAAACAACTACAGGTGCTAGGCTTCAGGTACTTAGAGATTCACTTCCAAACAGAAACCCCACATTCATATCTTCAGGTAACACAGAGTACATGTCAGACTTAATAATATTACTTAAGTGATAGTTTCAAGGTGTTTGCTTTATTGTATATCTCGTACCATGTTTTTTGGTTGTGCTGTTCTTTTTTCTTTTTTTTTTTTTTTTTCTCCATCTCATTACAGGTGTTGAAGCAGACTGAAAATGTTTTGTCATTGTCTCCTTCCTATCTCCTCTTTCTTTCATCTTTTGTCCTGTTTGTTTCTTTTTCTTTTTCCTTCTTCTTCTTCTGTTTTTCTGCTCTACTTACATTGCAGTGTCCATATGAACTGTAAAACTCCCTGCATAATTATAATAAAGCAATTTATATACATGAAACAAGTGGAGCGGTATGGCAATTGCGATACCGCTACACTTGTGAAAGTAAAATCTGTTGGGCTCCTTTTGGCATCAAGACAATTATTCTTATTGCCACCTTGCCAGACAGGACACTGTAAAAAAAAAAAAAAAAAAAATTCATTTATGTAAGTCAATATTCATCAAATAAGTTTTCATCTGTCATATTTTGTCCTATTAACACACTCCAAAATGATTTGTTGGTACAACAGATGAAACAGTGAATTCAATCATGGTAATTATTAAACACCAAGCTCTGCAATTTTATTAAGGATATAAAATTTAGTTATTTATTAAGAACAATAATTCAACTTTATTTTCAGCAGAAGCTAGGAAAACTTAGCTCAATTAATAAGCTACTAATGTATGTGTAGATAGCAGTAAAAGGGCAATTAAAAAATGGTTGGAAAACATAACCTTAAAATGATGAAATTATGACGTTCGGTAGGCTATGGATTTGATGCTTGAAAACCAAATTTCCTCTTGTAGAGTTTGGGATAAGTTTAAATTTGCTTGAGCACT